AAACATCTCAGGTATCAGCTGATCCTGGGGGAGAAGTGTTTTCAACCCCATTCATAGTGTCACAAAGCATCCCAACTTCCACCTACGTCTTGGGTGCTCTGCCTTCAGCATGTGGCTGAGGCCACATTGACTGGTTCAGGGAGGAGATGGGATTCTTGATTGTTACCCTGGATGAAGCCGTGGCTAGGGCTTCTGCGTTTCATAAGTGAATCAATTCCTTTTGTGGTTGTTTTATAAAAGCCAGTTTAATTTGAATATTTTGTCACTTGCATTCAAAAATATCCTGACGCATATAACTTATTTCACCCAAGAGACAAGCATGTGACACTGAACAGAGGAAGCAGGCTCAGAAAGAGGAAGAGAAGGCTCTAGGGAGTGGGAGGAGGCCAGGGTGGTGCAGTGACAGCAGCCCTGGCTTGGGGCCTGAGTCACGGACTCAAGTCCTTAGTTTGTCCATTGCTAACTGTGTGATCTTAAGGAAACAGCAAGCTCTCTGAAGCTGTTTCCTCATCTGCAAAATGTAAAACAGGCATTTCTTCTTCCCTAGGCTGTGGTGAGAACTGAGTGCTCTGCAAATCGTACATGTACAGCATTCATTTGACCAGGGCTCTTAGCTTTTGAAGAGTCACAGTGCTCTTAAAAATCAGATCAAGGCTACTGCCCTCTTTCCCAGAAAAATGCACACATACACAATTCTACAAAAAATATTAGGGGGATGACAAATCCTAGAGATATATCCTTGAACTCGCTAGGAGTCTATGATTCTTCAGCTGAAAAGCCCTTACTTTAGGCAAACATAAAGTAGTAGTATTATAACTATTCCATTTGTTCTTCTTCTATCTCTCTCATCCTCTGCTCACCCTACCCCTGACAACACCTCCAAATCTGCCAAGCTCTTGGCAGTGTTAAGGATGTTTTTATAAGTCCCAGTAAAATGATACAGTTCTTCAGGTCATTGCAAACAAGTGTTCAGTTCCAACATAGGACTCGAACATCCACACATAGGTGGTAAACGTCTAGTGGATAGAGGGCCAATAGACTTGGATTTGGATCCCAGCCATGCCTCCTAATAGTATTTGTGACCTTGAGTAAGTCTCTTCACCTCTGTGAGCTTCAGTGTCTTCATGCATGAGATGAATTCTATAATAATATCTGTTTCATCTTCCTCCTAGGGTTGCTGTGAGGAGTGCATGGGATAACAACCATGAAAGTGTTTTGTTAACTGAATTGTTATACATTCTGGGAGAAGCAATCCTTGCTCAACGCAGCAAGGCATCCCGGGACCCCTAATGTAGTGTTGCTGTGGATGACAGATTTCCTGCAGCTTGCACTCACCCTGTAGGATGCCACCCCCTCCTGCAGTCCTGCTCATCCCTCAAGGCTGCTGTGAGCACCTATGGTTTCATCCACTCAGCACCTTCTTTCTTTGCAGGACCAGTGTCCTCATCTCCTTCTTTTGGGATCTTTCCTTCACCTCCACAGCCATTTGGTTCCAGAAAGAGCTACCATATTCTCATGTGATCCGACCTCCTGGTCATAGGGGATTGGTCCAAGATTGGGTACCTTGCCCAAGAGAGGCCCATCAGGACCCTTCTCTAGGAATTCCCCATCCCAGGACTTTTCTAACTAAAGGAATGAAAGAAGTTCAAGATTTCTAGCCGACAGTGGAAGCTATAAGTTGTCAGTAGCCATATTTCCCCCTGTGCAGAGGATGTGGTTTGTGGTGAGGAAGCAGGAAGCTGCACGCAGAGAGAAGTGGAGGCTAGAGATGGTCAGACAATCCTCGCAGGGGTTGAGTCCCTGGCTCTGGCTGTTCCTGAGGTTCAGCTGTTTATCTACCTCTCCCACAAGTTGATTGTTCCCTCCCTCCTTCGCATCCAGTACATTTCCCCTTTGCTTGGGCTACCTTGAGTTACGTTTCTATCAGTTGCAGCCAAAAGATCCAAGGCTACGTCAAAGCCCCAGCCCCAAAGTCACCTCCTGTGTAAAGCTCTCCTTATGCCAAGGACTCTGTAGATCTCTTTCCAAGTATGCTTCCACCATACCTGGCTCCTGCCAAGCCAAACGACAAAAAGGTATGCCTTCATGCTATTACTACTATTATTGCCTCCCACAATGGACACAGTAGAAATAACACAGGCTTTGGAGCTGGACTGCTCTGGGTCTTCATCCTGTTGGTGCCATTTATTAGCTGTGTGACCTTGGAAAAGTTCCTAAATATCTCTGGGCCTCAACTTCCGTAACTGTAAAATGGGGATGTTAATGCTTTTTTTAAAGGGTTGTTGTGAGGATTCAATAAAATACCATAGTATCAGCAAAATGGCTGGTATCTGATATATGCTCAATGCATAGAGTTTTTCTTTAATCTCATCCATTTTGCATTTCAGGAGGTGAGGCTCCAAGGAATGAATAGATTTTTATATACAGAGTTACAGTCACTGCTGGTCCTTAAGGCAGGTTCTCAAGCCCCTAAGTCATTGACAAAGCAGCCAGGAATTTTCCACTCACATGGGAAGAGATCTCAATACCAATAGTCATTAGGGAAATGCAAACCAAAACCACAGTGAGATATCACTTCACACCCAGGAGGATGGCTATAATCAAAAAGATACAATGAGGATACCATAATAAGGGAGGAGAAATTGGAACCCTCATGCACTGCTACTGCTAGTGGGAATGCGAAATGTTGTGACTCCTTTGGAAAACAGTCTGGCAGTTCCTCAAAAAGTTAAACATAGAGTTACAATAGGACCCAGCAATTTCTCCTAGACATATACTGAAGAGAACAAAAAACATGTTCACATAAAAACTTGTACATGAAAGTTCATAGCAGCATTATTCATAATAGCCCAAAAGTAGAAACAACGCAAGTGTCCATGAACAGATGAATGCATAAACAAAATATATATCTATACAATGCAATTATTTGGCCACAGAAAGGAATGAACTGCTGATCCATGCTGCAACATGGGTGAACCTTGAAAACACTGTGTTAAGTGAAAGAAACCAGACTCAAAGGGCCATATCTTATATGATCCCATTTATCTGAAATGTCCAGAATAGGCAAATCCAGAGACACAGCGGATTCATGGTTGCCCAGATCTGATGGAGGAGAGGGAAAGAGAGAAAAGAGAACAACTGCTAATTGGTACACAATTTCTTTTTGGTGTGATGAAAATGGTCAAGAATTAGACAGTGGTGATGGCTCCATGTATTCATGAATATATTAAAAACTACTGGATTGGACACTTTAAGTGGGTGAATTTTATGATATATAAATTAGATCTCAACTTAATAAAAAAAGAAAGAAAGAAGGCTGTATCCAGGAAGGCCCTCTGTTAGTGCAGCTGTGACAAGCCACCCAGATGCAGTGACCTTGAGCACAATGGTAGGGACAGCGTGAAGGAGGGCATTGTTTACAGCACTAACCTGCTCCCAGGATAGCCGGAGGTCCTGGTGGCCCTGGGGGTCCCGGTGGCCCAGGATCACCAGGTCTTCCAAAGCCAGGTGGCCCAGGCAGACCAGGAGCACCTGGGGGTCCTTGGGGCCCAATGACTGTCTCCCCTTTCTGGCCCTGTGAAGGAAAGCACACCGTAACAGAGAGAAAGCATCATTCATCACTAGAAGTCCCATCTAGTCCTTTTATGAGACTATTTAAAAGAAATCAATAAATATCAACTATTGTTATTAATATCCTCAATCCTGGGCACAATTCAAGGTGGGATAAGGCCTCCAAGATGGCAGCTGAGTCGTTATGTTGAAGGACTCTACCGAGAACCCCAGAGAGCCCTGGAGGCAGAAGGGACCTTGGAGATCATCTAATCTGGCCTTGCACTTCATAGATGGAGAAACTGAAGCCCAGAGAAGTGAAAGGACTTGCCCAAGATCACAAAGCAAATTAGAGGCCCAGTTAGCAGCAGAACTCTGATCTCTGGCTTTGCTGGTTCTACCCTCATGGTGAGCTCTGGGACCAAAGGTCAATGATCTGGTCATATTGTTGTTGGAGGCACAGCTTGACTTTCTCTACTTTCACCTGGAAAAGCCTCTCATCCTAGGAAAATCACACCTAGCTAGGAGCTCCTTCTTTGATAAAATTTCAGAAGAATCAAATGGCTCCTCTAAAAATATCTCCCTTACCTTCCATTCTGCTGCTGTTATCTGATGCATTCACCATTAATCATTCTTTGTGTGGAGTGAATTTTCCAACAATGTCATGAATAAGGTAGTGTGGCTAATGGTCTGGAAGTTACCCACCTTCATGTAGCCTTGGCCAGCTACCTTCCCTCCAGGGACCTCAGCCAACTTCCCCATTAATCAGCAAGGATGGTGGGAGAGCTGGCTGATCCCCAAGCCTTGCCTCCAGCTTACAGTACAATGACTAGCCCTAACTGCCTAGTCCCATTGGGGGCTTCTGGGAAAGCTGTAAGTCCTTGGGGAAGATAACTTGGAGGGGTCACTACTCACAGCCATGCCTGGATTTCCGGGCAGGCCTGGAGGTCCAGACATAAGAAAGCTGCCATTAAACTCTCCTTTTTCTCCTTTTTCACCTTTGAACCCCTTGTCTCCATTCTCCCCCTGGAAGCAGAGAACACAGGAATATTTCAGTAAGAGTGGGATGAGCTCAGCCTCTGACATAAACCAAAACATGAAAAACAGAGGCCAAATGTTGGTAGAGAAACACTTACCTTCAAGTTGTTCAGAAAGTGTCTCAGATAAGTTAGATCAAGTGGAGGACCTGAAAAGAAATGCTTCATAAAATTCACCATCATAATTTCAGCAATTAAAAAAAGGTTCTAAGTTGGCAACCACAGTTACGTCTTGGTGGAAGTGACTCTGCACCAGGCAGGCTAACAGAGTCTGCTTGGAAGCAGAAACATGTGCTAGTGTGAGCCCATCAACCCAGAGCACTGTCGGATCCCATGTAGGTCCCTGGCCCTCTTTGGGCTTGTTTTGCATATAAAAGATGGATAATTGGATTTTCTGGTCTCTCTTGACAATCTTCCATATTGGACATACCTGGGTGTCACTAGAACCCAGCGGAGCTTGTATTCAGGATGGAATATCATTAGTCTTACCCTCTGGCTAGGTCACATTTCTCAGCTGCATTTGCTCTCAGGAGCAAAAAATCAAAGGCAAGATTGAGAACAAGAGCTGGAATACCTGGTGGTCCCTGGGCCCCCTGGTCGCCTTTTTCTCCCTTTGAGCCGGGAAGACCCCAGGATCCTTTCTCTCCTTTAACACCTGCCACCAAACACATACATGTTAAAAAAAAAAAGTGGAAAATCACCTTCATTCTATATGAAATCTTTCTGAGACAGGTTTGCAAACCGAGCTCATTGAGCAAAGTCCTCTCAAACAAAGCCCTCCGGAGAAATCAGCAAGGTAAAATCATACAGGGGGCAGAGGTACATGCTTCAGACACATTCTCAACCTTGAAAAGCTCAGTCTATCGGGAGACAGACACAGCTCACAGTAACGCAAGACAAGATGAAATCTGTGCTCTCACTGAGGTTCCAGCCATGCATCCTGGGAGCCCAGCAGGGGCTGGGGCTGACCCTGGTTTGGACAGTTTCACAAATGAAGACAGAGGCTCAATGCCATGTCAATCTTCCAGGGTCATCTCATCCAGGCCTGTGCAGTGTGGGGGTATGAGGGAAGGAGAGGGCCCTCCCTGGAGTTCCCGTACAGGGCATCCAAGGGCACTAAGTTTTCTACTTACAAAGTTGTGAGAATGCCCACCATGCAGTGTTGTGCATCCCCACAGGACTCGTGAGAAACACCATTTCTGCAGAACTAGTGTCCCATATCCACCTTTCCCCTCAACTCTTTATGTGGGAAGGGGCATGGAAAAAAGCCTTTTGGGAGAGCACTGCTTGGGAAGGGAAGTGGTTCCCTTTTCCCACCTTGATGGGTAGGGTGGATACTGGGTCTTTGAATTCCTCATTCCCAAGAGGAATGAGGCAGATCAACCCACCAATGTTCTTGAGCCTAGAGATGGGGCTACAAAATGTAGATGAGGGTGAGGGCTTTCCCAATGAGGGGGAGGGAATGTGAGCATCACAGGCAAGATGGTGTCAGCAGGGGGTCATCAGGGAGCCACAGCTACATCTACTGAGGCCTTGCCAACCCTGGGGATGCTGTGTGAGACCAATGACCTGGGCAGTGGGGCCCATGGGGCCTCCTTCACCCACAGTGAGCCCACAGATAGCGGTGATCAGACGAGAAGACAGCAAGTGCACCAGCAGTGAGCGGAGCAGTAGCAGTTGCACACAGTAAGCAGGACATTGTGGCATCCAGAAAGATCTGTTCCCTCCTCCTACTTCCAGGGGAGGCTCACAGGGAAGAGGAATAATTGGGGAACTAAGAAACAAATCCAGCTCCATCCCCTGCTCCCCAAGGTTCACCTTGCACCAGGGGGAAGGGGAGCCTTGAATTGAATCTAAGCATAGTGTTTGGAAACAGGCTGGGCTTGATAAGCAGAAGTGACAGAAAAACCACGGGGCCAGATATCATCAGGGATACTACCACCTGGTGGGCCAGGGTACACGGCCAAGCTGAAGGTGAGTATTGAAGGAAAAAGGCCTTCCCCAATTTAAACCCCAAGTGGTGTGACACCATGTGTGGGGACAGGGGGACCAGAGTGACTGCTCACCTGCAGGCCCTGTCCCCTGGCCTGTCCCTCTCTGATGTGCCATAGCAAAGCTCCTGTATGTGGCTATGAACATGCTGACATCTCCTAATCAAACCCTCTGAGCCAGCACTTCTCACTTTGCTGTGCACACACCTCACCTGGGAGGTGGTTAAAATGCGGGTTCTGACTCAGCAGGTCTAGGGTGGGACCTGAAGTTCTGTGTTTCTAAGGAGCTCCCAAGAGATGTTTACAAAGTTGCATGGACATTGAGGCAAGGGTCTCCTGAGCTCCCATGGCCCTTCCCTGATCAGCTCTTGGTTTTTAAAATAGTTTCACTTAATAGATTCCAAGAGCCTGAGAGGCAGGAAAGACATTTCCCAGGCTCTTGGAATCTGCCTTAGTCCAATGCGGATCATACCAAGTAAGGAGCAGGCATCAGTGAATGTTTCATAAACAAGCGAATAATTGAAGAACAGAGTGCTTGCTGCCAACCAGGAGGCTAGGCTAAGATGGGCAGAACAGACACACGTGTGACCAAACCAAAGAGAGGTGCACAGCCCCACAGCCTTGGCTCAGCTGCCCCCCACAACCCCACAATATACAGTTAGACCTTCCCAACTGGCTAGTCTGCGCCCAACACTGGGCAAAGAAAACTGCCTTCCTTAAGGAGATGTCCCAGAGAAACAAATGATGGAGAATGTAGCGTGTACCGTGAAAGGTGATGAGCTCCGGACTCCCAGGATGAGCGGTACCGACCTGGAAAGAGAGGAGGGCCAGGTCAGGCACTGCAAGCTCTGCTCTGGTGTTGGCAGACACAGGCAGCCACTGGCCCCGGGGACGTGTGACAAAAGAGGCAATGCCGCAGAGTCGGGCTTTCCTTTGGCTTTGGAGTGCCCCACATCCCTGGGTTCCAGGAGTTCTCAATGCACAGACATCCCAGTTTCAGTTGGAAGATCCATGATGTAGCTGAGTTAGGGAGAAAGAGCTGAGACCTACTGGCCAAAAAAACTCAGCCCTAGGGAAGCCCAAAGTTCAAGACCACAAATCGTGGCAAGTGTTGGTTTGGCCAACTGTGAGCATTCTTGTCTTCCTTTCTTATCACTTGGGATTGATTCATGTGTGAGCTCAAGCATCTGAACAAGTGAGGTGCTCAGCTGTGAAGCTGGGTCAGCCAGTAACTTAGCTATTGCATCTAATCAGAGATGAGCATCACGAGCAGGTAAATTAGCAGGTAAATTATCATTAGATAGGGGGGTGGGTGGCTATTCTGGACTCCTCATTGGGTTCCAGGGGTCTGGGGTCCAAGCTGTTCTAGATAATGTTCCTTCCCAGTTTCCCCCAGATGCCTGCATTTCCTTCTCTATTAAGACAAAGCCACTTGAAACCTGGCTTCTTCCCAGTAAATGTGTGGAAAGTCATCCATCTGATGCCAAAATCCTTCTATGCTTATGGGTGGAGGGTCACAAGCTGCTCAGGGGTCACCAAGAGAAGATGGGAGTCGGGAGAGAATCTTCCAGGAAAAACATTTCTAAGTTAAGGATGAAGGTTAACTTCCAAGCTGTTATCTTGCAGGCTATGCTGATAAAGTTCCTCTGCTAGAGACAGGAGCTGTAAATGATTTGGGTGTTGGAAGGAGCTAAAACTAGAAGGGGCTCGTGAAATGCTGGCGGCGAGAGGAGGCATTTCTGTTTCAAAATGTCCATTTTGAGAGTTGGTCAAGAAATGTCCATGACCCAGCTTCTGTTGTATCTAGTCAGGCATATGAAATAAAAAATCTTACTAAAAATGCTTTGAGCCTATTTTTCCTTTCTTTTAGGTATCCCCATGACCCCCAAAGACCATGGTTACTGCAAGAGGTCCTGATGCAGGTATGATAATTGCAGTAGCATTTTTACAACACTCTGAAATTTGTCAAGTGCTGTGCTATGGCTCGTTCAGTGGGATGTTAGTTGGGAGTGGCTTCTGTGCTAACTCACTGTGTGACCTGGAGCCAGCCCTTTGCTTCTCTGGGCTCTGGTCTCTCCGGTGTGATAAGGAGGTGGGATGCAGTGGCTGCCCAGGAAGGTCACTCTAGCACTGATATTTTATGTTTCTCTTCAGGCCATGGATTTAAACACATACTTGGTTGCTGCTGTCTCCATGTAGAGCCAGGAGCCCCTTAGTCACCTGACATAGGTGGTTCCTGCCCTCCAGGCCAGAGTTCCCAGGCCTTGGGCTGCAGACTTGGATGCCTCAGCATTTAGACTTAGCCAGATGTCTGCACAAACACGCAGCCAAACTGAGTCATTTTGAAGCCTCTGACCCAAGCCCTAGCACCACCTCCAACAGGCATCAATTATGAACCCACTTCAAAGAATATTTCTAAATTGTAATTTGCAAGCTCCTGAGAGCAGAGGCCACGCCCGTCTAGTTCAGCCTTGTATCTCCAGGGCCTAGCAGAGTACTTGGCACTCCATAAGTGCTCAATAAATATTTGTTGAATGAATGAGAGAATGAGTATGCATGGTTCTGTGACTAATGCCTGTTCACAGGGCCCACCCTCCCCTCTGGGTTTTCTCACAGATATCTGACTCTCTTCCTACGGGTAAAACATCAGAAACAGAGCTACTCAATGGCTGCGGGGCCGGGCAAGTGCCTGACCCCACAGAATCCCAGTGTCTGTGCCTGCTGCCTGCTGGTCAGGAGACCTGAGTTATGGTCCCAGCTCAGTCAAGTCCCATGACCTTGGACAAGCCCGTGAGCTTCTCTGAGTCACAGTTTGTTTCCTTACTATAAAGCGGGAGAGATAAGTCCTGCCCGTCAGTGTTGTGTGCTGTGCAGTCACGTGATCACTGGGAACAGGTACAGCGTAGTTACAGATTTTAGCCCTAAATTCCCAACGCACAGATCATGAGCTGGCATGGCTTGTTTTCTTATCTACATTTTCTAAAGGGTCTATTTTTCCCTGCATTATACTGCTCCAAGCATGAAGCTAATGTGGTCACAATAACAAAAGCCACTGCTTTTTAGATTGTGTAAAAAGAAACACCTCACCACGTGTGCACCCTTACAAGAGCCAGTGTATTTCACTGCCACGATCTGTTATCTAAAAGCTTCTAGTCACTTAAGGGTCTACACTTAGGGGATAGAAAGCATCAGAGAGGACGTCTGAGGACAGAAAGGGCCCAAGACAAAGACTGGTCTTTTTCTCTGAGTTGCTATCTCTGCCAAAGCCTGCTCTTTAAGGCAGTGGTTGCTACTTACTGGCATTTTGCAGTGTGGTCGGACGGGTATTGGGAAAACAGCCTGTAGGTAATGAGAACGAGAGAGGTGAGCTCACCAGGACGGCCGACGCAGCTCAGGCCAGTCGGGAACGTCTTCCCACCCCACGCCAACTTACACCTTTGATGTTAATCACAGCTCCAGGTGGCCCAGGGGGGCCTGGAGGACCAGGTAAGCCAGGTGGGCCCTGAAGGAAGAACAAAAGGCCATTCCATTAGTTCAGGCTGTTGCGAGTGCAGGGGCAGCTGCAGGGCACTTCCTCCAGAGTTTGGGAACTCGGGAAGGAAAGGAGGGTTCGCTGAAGCCAACCAGCTTCTCCCGCAGGCTGGACCGGGAGCCACAGAGCACTTCTATGTCCCTGTCCTCACTGTATCTTCACAACAAACCACAGGGAAGATGGCAGGGCAATAAGTATTGTCTCTGGTTAACACATGCAGATAATGAGGCCCAGAGAGGGGAGGTGACCTGCACAAGACCACACAGCAACTTATAGCAGAAGTGAGACTGCAACCGAGATTCTGACTCCCAGTTGATACTGCCCCTAAGGCCTCCCTATCAGTGCGTTCCCAGTATAGGGGTGGGAGTAGACTGTGGGGGTCCCTCAGGTGATATAGTGCCTGAGGGAATGTACCTCAGAAATGCAAGCATAAATGCAAAACTCTTGTAGGATAGCACAGTCATTTTCAAAGTGAGGCCAGGTTGGCCTTAATACCATGCAACAGTTTCTTCTCTAAGCCTGGAGGCAGGAGCTTGCAGCAGGAGAGGTGAGGCTCTGAGGGCAGGCATGAGGAGTTCAGCCCATGCAGAGGGCACACTGATCACTCTAAATGAAGGCATCAGCTTCTGGTTTACCTGCTGGTTCCAGCGGGCTTGGTGAGCGAGAGTCAACCCCTAATGCTTCAGGAAAACTATATTTCTGGATTTCTGGGCATACAAAGCAGAAGTAGTGTGGCACAAACAGAAGGAGAATAGACTTGGAGCTGTTTTTCCATCTTGGTCAGTGCTTATTAGCTGGGTCGCCTTGGGTGGGTGCCTTGACTGCTATAGGCCCAGTATCCTATTTTTTTTTTTTTTTAAACCAACACATCTGAGATCCAGTATCCTCTTACGTAAAACAAGACACCTGCATTGAGTCTCATGCAATAGTTATCACCAAGATTAAATGAGAAACTGTCCTTAAAAGCACTTTGCACAGTGACTGGTACATAGCAGCTGCTCAATAAACACTGGCTTCCTTCTCCTAGCCCCAGGCCCCTGCTGCTGCCCCGAGTTTGCCAACCTGGGAGGCCCACCTGAGTGGTTGACCTGCCTTTGATACCGACTCCAGCACTCACTGAGCCCCTAGTGATGGGAGTGATCGCTGGGACTGTGTAAAGGAGGGAAGAGGTGATATTACCCTAGAGTTAGAGGCCCTGGGATTTGGAGCCACATTTTCTGAGCATGACCAGATCCCTTTCTCCCCTACTCCCTCCGGGGCCTACATGAGAAAGTCTATTCTCCACCAAGATGCTTTAGGTGGCAGGACCCTCCTGAGAGGGAGCTGAAGGACAGAACTGGGTGGGGGACCTTTGGCAGTGGCAGTGAAGAAAGAAGAACAATATTTCTGAACATTCAGTCTACAGGCTCTGCTCTGTGGGACCCCACGCTCTCTTACCCTCTCTGGACACCAACCTCCAGCTCCATCCCTCAGGTGACTCACCTTCATAATGACCCCTGGATCTCCTTTGGCACCCTTGAGGCCATTCAGTCCTGGGCGACCCTGGAACCCACAGCAGACGCCTCAGTAAACCATCTGCCCACAGGCCAGCCTGGCTCACATGTTCCCCCCCCGCCAGCCTGTCCAATGAACACCGATACCTACAGGTCGTCCTGGGAGGCCAAATTCTCCTTTGTGTCCTGGTGGTCCTTTGGGCCCCTAGAGGCAAGATAAACACCAGATAAGAAAAGAACAGGAACTCTGGGTTCAGGGAAATGAGGGGTGCAAGCCTGCTTTTGCAGACCATGGTGATGATGATCCACTGACAGGAGGAAGGAGGGCAGGGAGCTGGGTGGAAGCCCCTGCCTGCTGCCTCCTTGTCTGCAGCCTCTCTGATCTTGGCTAGAAGCACCTGCTCAGCCCACACCATCTCCTGCTTTCCTGCAGGCTCCAGCCCACCCCAGACTCTGGACCCAGCCCCTCGCAGTCAGGACTGACTAAGGAACAAGACGTGAGTAGGTCAGGGCCTCAGCTCCCTGGTAGCCAGGCGCTGGGACAGCCCAGAACACAGACCTCTGTCCTAGGTCGTATGTCCCAGGGCTCATTGAATCCTGCAATCATCACAGCCTTGCCTCATCCCTCAGGCCAGCCTAGCCTGATAACCCACTCTAGGATTTGGTTCCCTCCTTGCTCTAACTTTCCCCTAGGAACCCGAGTCTTGGTCTGACACCTCAGTCCTCCAGCTGAGTTCCCGACCATGGACCCTATTTCAGTGCTGGCTTTCCAGGACCACAGGCTTCTAGAGCCACTGTTCTGCTGTAACCTTCAGGAATCTCCTGCCTTCCAGTGTCTGGGATGCAAACTATTTCACTGGCAATGCCAGTGATAATGTACCTCTTCCTAGAACATATTCTATCCTTGTTCTGTGCCTTTCCAACTCTGTAGCTGGGTCTTCTCTGCCTCCCAGAGGAATGACTGGTCTAGGTCTGGGGCACTCCAAGTCCGTTTTCCTGCTACCATTAACATACATAGCCATGCTCTGAAAAATGGCAAATAAAAACTGAGTTGAAACAGGTCAGTACATAAAGTACCTAGTCTGTATTACTCTGAGGGAAAGAAAAGCAAAGACAGATGGGGTTGACAGGGCACAGGCCACTTGGTTGGTATGGTCTAGGGCAACACTTCCTGATATGGTTTGGCTTTGTGTGCCCACCCAAATCTCACCTTGAATTGTAATCCCATAACCGTGTCATGGGAGGGACCCTGTGGGAGGTAATTGGATCATAGAGGCAGTTTCCCCCATGCTGTTCTTGTGATAGTGAATGAGTTCTCATGAGATGTGATGGTTTTATAAGCATCTGGCATTTCCCCTGCTGGCACTCATTCTCTCCCCTGCTGCCCTGTGAAGAGGTGCCTTCCACCACAACTGTAAGTTTCCTGAGGCCTCCTAGCCATGTGGAACTGTGAGTCGATTCAACCTTTTTTCTTTATAAATCATCCAGTCTTGGTATTTCTTCATAGCAGCGTGAGAATGGACTAATACATTTCCCAAACATCCATGTGTGTAAGAATCACCTGGATCTTGTTAGACATGCAGATCCAGTGTGTCTTGATGGGGCCTGAGGTTCTACAGCTCTAAGAAGCTTCCAAGTAATGTCAGTGATGCTGGCAAATGGTCTACACTTTGTGTAACAGGACACTCATGAATCTGAGAAAGAGTTACAAGCTACACTGGTCAGCAGGGCCACAGCTAGCCCATACGGCATCTTCACGCAAATTAGAAGAAGGTGCCGCTTATTGCCTGTGTTTGGCAAGTTGTACCCAAGGTGGGCTTCAGTAGGAAACACCGCCATGGCATCTGCAGCAGCCTGCTGGCCCCCACCACTAACTATTTGTGCTTTCCACAGTACTGGAGGTTAGTAGGTGGTTTACCAGTGGTTAATGCAAGAATCTCTCAGTCTGTCTTAGCCCTCAGCTACCTGACTTTGGGTGTCCACTCTGCCTGACTTCAGGGACCAAAGGCCTCAGAAGGTATTTTGAAAGATTCACCTCAAAGGTTACAGGCCATTCTTCAATGATACAAGTCTGTTACAGAAATGTGAGGTCCTTTCTCCCCATACTGGAGATCCAACTTCAACCGAACAAACTTGTATAGAATTCTCCAGCCCAAAATGTTTCAAATGTTCAATGTTTCAAATGTTCATTGGAGGCAGTGAGGTTCATTCGAGAAGAGACTGGACCTAGAACCTGACAGGCTGGCCTCAAATCCTCACTCTGCCACTTATGAGCTGTGTGACATGGGCAGGTTACTTAACCTCCTTGAGCCTTAGTTTCCTCATCTATAAAATAAGGATTCTGAGAGTCACAACCCACAGCTTCTTGGGGTTGTGAAGATGAAATGAGATGACCCTCTATCTGAAGTATCAGTACCATCTGACCCACAGAGAATGTTCTACACCTGAACTTTCTTTGCTCTTTGGGGAAGAATATATGACAGGGAAGTAAGTTTAGGGCTCACCCTTGAGAGAAATGGTGAGAGCTGCTCAGAAGCCCATATGGGTTATGGATTCCCAGAGCAGTAAGGCCAGAAGGGCCCTAATATCATTTAGTACTGATTCAATCCCTTCAGTGTGCAGATAGGAAAACAGGAGCCCAGAGAGAGAAGAGTCCTTGCACAAGGTCTCATAGCAAAAGAGTAGCATATTCACACCAGAATCAAAAATCCCAGAGAGGTTTTGTGGGGTCCATTTGATGGCTTCCTGGGCAATTGTTCATCTTTAGCTGGCAAGCTCTGTGGTATAACGCAAGTACACCTCTCCTTCCTGAACACACAGCTGAACTACATTCTGAGGCCCCAAGCATCTGAATTTTGGCCAATAGAATGTGCCGGAAGTGATGTTTATTATCTTCCGCAATCTCTTCCCCCTCCCCAACTTCAGCCTGCCAGCTCCTATCAACCCTGAAACCACAAGATGGGAGAGTCAGAGAATGGAAGCATCCTGGGTCCCTGAGTCACTTCTTGGAGGAGAGATGCCAAGCTGGGAACAACCACAGTGGACTTTGCAAGAGGGAGAAAGAGGCTGCTATTGTGTTAAATCACTGAGAAGTTTATTTAATTGTAGTTAGCCTTACCCTAATATATGCACATTTTGCCACATCTTTGAATTTTTATAACTGGGACAACCAAATCTAATCAAATCAAAGTATGAAAAATGCTTCAAACCCCAGTCCAGATCCAGCTAAGAGACACTCTGGCTTACCATTGGTCCTGGGGCTCCGTGCATTCCAGGTTCACCCTAAAAGAGGAAGATATGTACTTGTCACTGTTTGGGACAGAAACAAAGATTCCCGGGGAGCTGGGGCAGATATGTTCCTGCAGGGTCTGGTGACATAATTACCTTTTTCCCCATTAGCCTTTCCAAGGGAACATCCCCTGTCAGGATGGCACCCGGCTCTCCCTTCTCACCCTGTAATTCAGAAAACATCTCAGTGAAGTCAGGACTCCTTAACACCCTGTCCACAGAGTCTTATGCAGAGACTCCTCCTTGCCACCTTGTACAGAGACCTGTCAGTCCTACTGCCATGATTTATTTATCTTGCCTTCATCCTACTTGAAGCCCCACTGCTGCAACATTACCTCTTGCTAGAGTATTGCAACAGCCAGCTAAATGAATGAATGTTCTCTCAGCCATTCCCTCTATGCACCATCAGAGTTACTGTCTACAGAACAGGACAGTCCTGTCTTCCACGCCCCTCCAGGGCTCCCACTGATGACAGATCTGCATTCTCATTCTCAACCCTCCAGGATCCAGCCCCAGAGTGGTCCTGTCTATCTCCTGCCACACGGTGCCCTCAAGGAACCTCTGGCTCACAATGTATTTGATAGCTTGCTTTCCTAGCAACTCAACCTGAGAACTGTTCCCATCAAGAATACTTATTCTTGTTAAAACACCTGACATTAGGAAAGAGATGAAGGTATAGAAACTAGAAGCCTCTCTCAACATGGAGGCTTTGTGTCTCCATATGCAATGTTGCCTCCAAACTCTAAGCTCCTGTGCGAACACGTACTTGGTTAGGCAAAGCTATCCCAGCTGTTGGAAAATAGGTGATGGGTAGATTGGTGGCAAGAACACAGTATCCTGCCCCCAGTCCTGTCCTCAGCAGAGCCATCTACTATGCTAGGAGGCTGCTGAGAAGACGCTTGTCCAGAGAACAAGGCCAGGTGCAGAAATCTATGTGACTCTGGGGCTTTGGCCCTGAACTTCAATGTTGGCCCCTGGGGAGCAGGGCTGAGCCACACAGAAGTCTCCTTTCAATGGGGCTGGGAATAGCTAAGAGAGTGGCATCAAAGCAAGCAGAGCAGCCTCTTTTTTCCATCCCCCTAAGCCCACACCTGGTATTTAGATCTTACCACTCCGCTGGTGAGGAAAGGTAGTCCTGAGCACGCCAGCAGGGAGAAGAAGCAAGCACAAAAGCATTAGAGGCAGAGTGAGAGAAAGTGCGTTTGCTGCAATGGCTGGAGCACAGCCGCCTGGGTGCCTGTACTAGTCATTCAAGGTGGCAGGAGGTTGGGGGTGGGAGTGTCACGTCCACCCCTCTAGATTCGTCTGACTTCACCACATAAGAAACAGAGTGTTTAAAGCAAGAGCTGCTCTTGCTTGACAGGGCTTCCTCCCAAGCCTTGAGCTGGCCAGCCCTGGTCCACCTCCACAGGCCTGTGGGAGCAAAAGCATCCCAACACACCCCCCCACGTGATGCCAAACCTTCACCCAGAACATCGAACCCTCCATGCCCTGGAGCAGTGGTCCACTAGATATCGGAGGCCCTCTCCTCCTTGGAGGCCACTGTACTATAGAATGGTAGGGGAGATAAGAATGAGAGGAGCCTAAGTTCCCCATCCCGGAGATCATACCCACCCTTGACTCCCCATGGCAGGCTCATGGGGGTGCCCAGTATGCTCCCACTGGCTTTGCACAGAGCTCCATCCCAGCTGTAAGCATGTGCTCTGTTAGCTCTTTGCATATCTCTTCCTCATCTTATTTCTACATCCCTAGTGCCAAGCACAGGAAACTGCCTGGCACACTGCAGGGGTCAGTGGATGAAAGATGGATGAGTATATACATGGATGGGTGAACACATGAATCTGTTCACGGACGTCACTCTTCCCCTTATCTATAAAAACCAACTGGAAAGTTAATTCTAAGAAGCAAACACAAAAGAATACAAGCATAACAATGGATGTGGTACCCTGGGAGCTGTTCTGTGTGCTAAATATTTATTTCAGAGATTTTGGACCCAGACTGTCATTCAGTTGCAGAGTGCAAACTTATAATTTATAAATATTAACATTTGTTCTATTCATTAATTACACATGCTTTCGTCCAACAAATGCTTTGTGTACCATTTGTATACCAGGCCCCATATTAGCATTGGAGCGATGGAAAAGAAGCTGGCAGGATGCCTGTCCTCAGGCAGTGCATGTTCTATAGGGATGCTCAACAGGTGGCTAGACAAAGCACAGTGTGTGTGAGAACAAAGGAGTGTTGATCTCTTTCCAAATTATGATAAAAATCAGTTTCACTACCTACTTCATACCTTCTTGTCTCATGGAGAACCTTGAGATTAAAAAAGTTAACAGCTAGAGAGTGACTGCTAAAAAGTATGGGGTTTCTTTCTGGAACAATGAAAATGTTCTAGAATTACTGAGTGGTTCATGAGGTTGTACAACTTTATGAGCCCACCAAAAATCACTGAATTGGACAATTTAAAGGGGAGAATTTTATGGCATATGAATTGTATCTCAAAGAAGGAAAAAGTTAATAGCTATTTTCAGCCAATCTGAAATGTTTAGCAAATTCCAGAGCCCAATCCCACCCAGATAACTGGACCCCTCTTACCTGTTCTCCTTTTAGTCCTGGAAAGCCAGGCAAACCAGTGTCACCTTTTGGTCCTCTAGGGCCCTGGAAGGAATTGTTGTATAATATTTGGTTGTTTGTTAAGACTAAAATGCATTAACCAATTAGAAATATTTTTTTTCCAAACAGTGGAATAGACACTGCCATCCCCCAGGCAGGTGGAAGTCATGATTATCCATGACAATTGTCAGTGTATCCGTGACATTTTCTTAACCTTAAGTGGTCCAGAAATTGTGGTCTGGTAGAAAGAAGATAGTCACATTTCTCTGAACGCTGGTTTCCTCCAACTGGGCACTACTGACCCAGCCTATTATCTGGGCCTGCTGCCTCTGCTTGCCCCATGGCTTCTCCAGGCCACCTTGTAGCCCGCCTCCTCTACCATCCCCTTTCACAACTCCCACCCCTTCTCTGGCTCCCCACTACCTATGAGATGGAACCCAGGTACCTTAGCCTGGCACCCCAGCCCATCCCAGCCAGACATCAACATCTCATCTCCCACAGCATCAGGCTGACACCTTTCCTGCAGCCTCTGCACTCCCCCATTGCCTCTGCACCAGCACTCACGCCACCCCCCCTTAGGAATGCCCACCCACCTCTCTGTGGAACCAAATCCACAAACACTTGACCAGAGACAACCTCTTCTCAACTCCAACAGACACTGAATGCCTGTGACGATGACTCACACAGCCACATCTGCCTCAAAAAGGCATTTCAACACTTTCTTGCTATTTTAACTTTTCACAGTTTCCTGTCTTGTCTTCTGGATGAAAGAGTGAAATACCAATTATGGCAGTGGCTTTCAATTATTCGTTATTATTGTTTAGCAGTGAAACTCTTTTCTTTCCTTCCCCCAAATAAAGTCTCAAATGAAAGCCCAATATATAAAAATATGTCCAACGAAGCTTCCCTTATTGAAGGTCAGTGGCCTGGAATGTGCCTGTTTGGCCCCCTCCTTACTCCCTGCAGTGGGAGACCTGGAGGCTCTTCTGCAGAGCCTGGGACTCCCTTGGGATCACAGGACCATTCTTTTAGAGGAGAATGTGCTCTGAAATGTGCACCAGGTCTTAGAGCAGCCAAGCCAGGGATAGAGCTTAGGGGTCTGACCTTTTCTTCTGCTAACCAAGAGTCATGGTCTTGGTCATGAGGTCATGGTTGCCATTCTCTCTTCTGTTTTTTAATGTCTGCTTAGCATGTATGTTTAGTGTTATATGATATGCACCTTTAGAAAACGTAAAAAGTTTAGAAAATCAGCCAGGTACAGTGGCTCATGCTTGTAATCCCAGCACTTTGGGAGGCTGAGAGATAGATTGCTTGAGCTCAGGAGATCCAGGCCAGCCTGGACAACATGGTGAAACCCCATATCTATCAAAAATACAAAAAATTAGCCAGGTATGGCGGCACATGCCTGTAGTCCCAGCTACTCGGAAGGCTGAGGTGGAAGATCACTTGAGCTTGGGAGGTAGAGGTTGCAGTGAGCCACTGCACTCCAGCCTGGGCAACCAGGGTGAGACCCCACCTCAAAATAAATAAATAAAAAGTTCAGAAAATTATAAAGAAATAGAAAAAAATGCCACTGATCATTCTACCATCAAGAGCAAATTTCTGTTACATTTTTGATAAATTTCCTTCATTTATCCAGAAGCAGTGCATGTCACCCATTGGCATTGGGCCTTTCAGAGATGCAGTGCTTTGGAGAAATCATCCAGCTCAGTACAGGCTGGGCATGGTAGCTCATGCCTGTAATCCCAGCACTTTGGGAGGCTGAGGCAGGCGGATCATGAGGTCAGGAGTTCAAGACCAGCCTGGCCAACATGGTGAAACCCTGCCTCTACTAAAAATACAAAAATTAGCTAAGCATGGTGGCATGTGCCTGTAATTCCAGCTACTCAGGAGGCTGAGGCAGGAGAATTGCTTGAATCTAGGAGGCGGAGGTTGCAGTGAGCCAAGATCGCGCCACTGCACTCCAGCCTGGGTAGCAGAGCAAGACTCCATCTCAAAAAAAAAAAACAAAGTAAAGGAAGGGGAAGGGGAAGGGAAGTGAGAAAGGAAAGCAAGCAAGCAAGAAAGAAATAAAAAAGGAAAGAAGACATTCGGGTATCACACTGAAGCTAGGCCTTACTTTTAGACAGGCTCAAAGTTTTAGGCAAAACTAATCTCTTTCTAAACAGAAGCATGTTTTCATTTTTCATGGTGAAAGCCCCATGGGGTGCACACAGATGATTAATTATTAGATGTCTATTCCATGGTTCCCCTCCCTCATGCCTCCTCCACTGCCATCATCCTATCTACTTGAAATTTAGGGATTTATCTACTTGAAATGTTTGCCTCATCCTCTTTCATTCATAGCAAGCCAACCCGCTGGCTCAGGCTTTTATTGGTCCTGGATAGAGAGCGATGAGTAGGACCCAGCCCTCCACAAGTTGTTCATAAGACGGTCAAGAAAAAAAAAAGGCAAGGGCACAAATAAACTGTTACTTAAGGTAGAAAAGAACCACAGGAGTGGTATCAATAAAGCCTTGTGGGTCTTAAAGAAGGGGACACCTCCAGGTGGGAGCACCCAGAAAAAGTTGATAAACAAGATGCCACTGGAGCTCAGTCATGCAGAGATGGAGGAAATGCCATTCCAGGTGAAAGCAACAGAATGAGTGCAGCCTCGGGGCACAGATAGAAGAGGGCTAGGATGGTACTTACTGGAAATCCTGGCAGCCCAGGCAACCCGTCTGGCCCCTGTGACACACCAAAGAGAAAGTACGTGGATTAGGAGCAGCATTCCCCGAGTCAGCAGGACCACCTCCCTCCCACTCCCTTCCGAAGGCCTCAGCATGTTCCCACAGTGGGGAAGAAGGAATGAGACAGCATTAGGGACGAAGGGGCCCTGTGAAGGTCTGGATTTGCCAAGGGGAGGACAGCAACAGGGAAGGAAGTGAGGAAGAGAGAGAAGGGGTGAAGACGTGGTAATGCAGGTGGACAAGGCCCAGGGACTGTGAGGACAGGGATGCCCAATCTCTGGTTTTCGCCTGTATTTTGCTTCAGTATCCACCTACCTAATACCCAAAACCTCCAATAGCTTGGGAAAAACAAAGACCTCTTGGGATGAAACTTTTGTTTGTGAGCTGGTTTCTTCTAGGTTTTGATTACTGGGGTATTTTGGAATATCTGTTTTCATAGAAATCAAATGGATGCAGTACAGAGGAGACACGGAGATAGCTCACAACGAGAGGTCACTCAGCAGGGAGAAGGCTGGTACCAGAGGAACCTGCAGATATTTGTAGGAATCTTGGACAGCACTGGATTTTCCCCTGGACATGGAAAAATGGGGTTCAGGGCAATCTCATGGGGATCTGTAGGAGGGGCGGACCCAGCAGACATCTGCATTGCACAGTTGTAAAGGTATAAACCTGTCTCCAGCAGTGACTTGCACAGAGTGTCACAGTATGCTAAGCAGTTTCACATCCTTCATTTCTTACAAGCTGCCTCAAAGGCTGGTGAGGTGTCATCATAGAAGAGAATCAGGGGCTTGGAGAGGTGTGTGAAGACGGGGCTAGAACCCCAAGGCTCCTAAGCCCAGAGCTCCTTCCTTTCCCCACTGACGACCAGCAGATGCTGGGAGATGCAATGGGGATTTATTATACAGGCTGTAGAAGGAAGCTTCCTTTCTCCTAAGGCCATTGTGCCATGGGTCAACTCTGCCAACTTGCAGAAATAATGTATATTTTGGTTTTTTGTTTGTTTTGAGACAGAGTCTCACTCTGTCACCGAGGCTGGAGTACAGTGGCATGATTTTGGCTTACTGCAACCTCCACCTCCCAGGTTCAAATGATTCTCGTGCCTTAGCCTTCTCAGTAGCTGGGATCACAGACATGAGCTACGACACCTGGCTAATTTTTGTATTTTTAATAGAGATGGGGTTTCACCATGCTGGCCAGGCTGGTCTGGAACTCCTGACCTCATGATCCACCTGCCTAGGCCTCCCAAAGTGCTGGGAGTACGGCGTGAATCACCGTGCCTGGCCAAAAATAATGTGTATTTCTGATATATATTATAACCCCATTTTAGAGATCTGGAAATTAAGACACAATTAATTTCCAGATCTCTAAAATGGAGCTATAAAGATTGGAATGAGTCCATTTCCTCCTGTGCTCCAATTTCTCTTGACCACAAGGAAAGGTGTCTCCAGGTTCTTCCTATTCTGTGAAATAAGATAATGTAAATAAAAGCAGGCCAAAAGTGTGCAACAGATGTCAATCTGCTGTTACTTGGCATTCTCTGCTTTCCATGACACATATTTCTGATGCATAGGACTGGAAGCTTCCACTGCTTCGGACACAGCTTTCCACATGGTAAAATTAATGTGAAAGCAATTTTCCAAAAAATGCAAAGCTTTCTTTCTATTCTACTTGGATATATTCTAGCTCTATGCTTCAGGAGCTAAAAGGAATCCAAAGCAACCCGACTTTGTTTTAACAGGGGCATCTGGGTAAAAGCCACACTCTGGGGCAGCTGTAGATACCAACCGGAGGCCCCACCAGCTCAGGAATGTCTGAGAAATTCATGAATCCATGGGTGATATTGATCAAGGACTGAAAAGAGAAAAACCAGACAATGAGGACAAAGAATGGCATGTGTCCTGCCTTGTTCCTGGCAGTGAAGCTTTAATTAAAGTCACCCAGCATAGCGGAACACTGCAGACACCGAGAACACCCTCAGCTGACTGCCAAACGCGGCTCTCCCGCCCCTTCTTATAAAACAGCTCTGAGCCGCCTTCGCACTTTCCTCCTTTACTTCATTTTTAAATCACACAATATACAAATGTCTTCTCTCTTTTTAGAGTTTAAACATATACATATTATATGCACCCACAGAAAGCACAGTGTTGGTGTGTGTGTGTTTGTCCATGTGGTTATTTAACATAAATGGCATCAGGCTGTATTACTCAACTTGCTTTATTCACTCGGCCATATTGTGTGGAGATCTTTCCATGTGGAATTTTGGAATATGGATATTTTTAGCTTTAAAGGCTGCCAAAGAGCCATCCAAAGGGGCCAATTTACACTTCTACCAGAAGCAAACGAGATTACCTTTTCCCCACCCCCTTACACATATTTGATTTTTTAAAATCATGTGTTTTTTTTTCTTTCTAACTTTAGTCATCCTTTTCCCAGCTATTTGGGGCTTGTCTTTCTGTGGTCTACCAGCATAGTGTTATTTCTCTCTGAAGGGCCAGGATTTTTCATGATGTGATATCTTAATATTAAATGGACCTGATCTGGTCCCGGCTCACATTCCAGCCTTCTCTCCAATTCCCATCATTCTCTACACACACCCACACCCACTACCCCTGCCAGTCAGCTCCCTGAGCCTGGGCACACCACATTGTCCTACTCTCTGCTTTGGCTCAGGGCATCTCTACCACTTGAACCTTCGAAGTTCTGTCTTCCATGCCTACCTGGTAAAATCCTTCTCAGCTTTCCAGTCCCTGCTCAAAGATATTCCTCCAGGAAGTCTTCCTTGATTCCTCATATCCCAAACAGTCTTTTCTCCCTTTTCCCTTATTTATGTTCCTTTGCCTCTCAGTTACAGCCCTTCTTCTGACTTCACTGGGGGCTCCTTGAAGGTAGGAACTCTGTCTTACTTATATTTATTTTTTATTTTTTTAATTAGAAACTTTTAAAAATATTAAAAGCAGGGTTTCACTATGTTGCCCAGGCTTGTCTCAAACTCCTGGGCTCAAGCAATCCTCCTGCCTTGGCATCCCAAAGTGCTGAGATGATAGGTGTGAGCAACTGCATCTGGTCTTACTTATCTTTACACCCACAGGATCTAGCATGGACCTGATGCAGAGTGCATGCTCCTGAGTGCTTATGCCAGAGTGTTTATTATAGGAATAGAGAATTCAATGGCACCCAACATTTCATCCAGCAAACGCTGATTAAGCCTGCATTATGAGGCCAGCAGGGGGGACACAGAGAAGGAAAAAAGCTCTAGAGGGCAGGTGGAGGAGTCAGACATGTAACCAGGCCATTGCTATACATGATGGGGGTTTGAAGGATGAAGTTACTACCTTCCTTGCTGATGAGAGCTGGGAAGAGGATGCTTTCCTCCATTTGTACAGACATCTTCCCATGTGGGATTGTGGAGAAGGGGTATTTTTAGTTTTAGTTTTAACAGACTATCAGAGAACCACCCAAAGGGAGCACACAAAGATGTTTCCTCTGACAGGAAGGGTGTAATCCTTGGCTTCTCTTGGCCTCTGCACCCCCTCCGCGGAGAGGTAAAGGCACCTTCCTGATGGGCAGTTTGGGAAGCACCAAGGGGCATGCCCAGCTCAGCCACGCTTCTTTCCTCCAGACCTGCCTGCCTCCGGGAAGCACATTCGGCAACCTGCGGGCAAGTCTGTCTGATTGGCAGGAACATGTGGCTCTCCCATTGGGTGGAGGCCTTCTGCCTAACCTCCATCAGTAATCAAGGTGGCATCTGGGCCTACCTCCTTATTGTTGGCTTTATTTCTCAGTGTGCTCTGCACCTGGCTGGGGAAAGTGTGCACCGCTTGTCTGGGCCTTCCTCAAGACCCTAACGTCTCTAATGCTCCTAGGCTGCGTTTTCAGTTGACCCCAAATGATGCTAATCAGAAGAGACAATTCTGGAAGCACCACGTGGGAGAACAGTGGTACCAGGGGAGGAACAGAGAGGTGATGCGTGCTGGCAGGTGGAAGTTCTAACACCAGGTGCTCGCTACATGCCCCCTGCATGGCTAGCAGTTTTGAAGTCATGGACAACCTTCTCTTCCCTTTGGCAAAGGTGGAAAATATGTAGACAAGCTCTGACCTGGATGATACTCACACTAGACAAGGTCTCGATGCGCCCAGGTGGCCCTCTCGGCCCAGGGGGTCCCACAATGCTAGCTCCATCCATCCCCCTTTCTCCCTGGTCACAGCAGCAAGAAGTGAGAAAAAGTTTACTGTACAGGGATAATGCCCCTAGAACCAGGCTGGAAAGCCCTCCCACCCCCAACTTGGCTCTGTAACCTCACCTTGGGTCCCCGGTCTCCTTTTTCTCCCTTGAGACCCTGGAAAAATAAACATAAATATTCTTCTAGTCACTTTCCTCACCTCCATCTACCCCCTCGTAACGCCATCTCCCCCTGAGTTTTTATGCTGATTTTGTCCCAGGCAAGGGGAATCAAGGATCAGCAACAAATTTCCCTTCCGGAGTCAGAAGGAAACAACACCCCATAGAGCGAGAGAATCAGAGGGCCCCTCCCAGCAACCGGTGAGGGTCCTCTTGACCCTGCATCTCAGAGCCCTCTGCCTCTGGGGGTCGAGAGAGGACTGCTTGTTCAGTTATGGGAGGGGCTGCACTGCTCCCTCCTAGACTGAAGCGCTCATCTCTGGATCCCATTTAATAAAGAGAATGAGATCCAGGGGGCTGGACCTCCTAAGAGCAGGCATCGTGACAGGAGATGAACACCACCAGCCAGGGGCTGGAGGCAGCACGGAGGGGCACCTGCCAGGAGCACAGGGCTTTCACCTGGAGCAAAGTGTGTGCATTGAATGGGGCAACAGGAGGAAGGAAATAAAGTAGAGATGCTTAGTTGTAAGAGAATGAAGAGGGAGAGGGAGAGAGAGAAATAGATGAAGAGAGGTAAAAATGATTTTCAAGTCCTCTTTCCACATCATGTTTTCTGCAAAACTTCTATGCTGCTCCTCAAAGACACAAGCTGTAAAGGGCATCTCATTTCCCTATGGCACAGCTGGGGGCTGGAGGCACAGAGAAGGTGAGTTTTTGAAAGTGGCAGAGCCAGGACATAGCCCACAGCTTCCTCGCTGTAGCGTGACAGTGTGACAACCCTCATAAATGAAGGTTTCAGAGGTGACCTACAATTGCAGCCGTTGGTCTGGAGAGTTTGGGTTCATTCAGTAGCTGGGTGCTTCCAGAGCCTTCGGTCTCCTGGGGAAGGAGCAAGAATGAGAATTTCAGATCCGGTTCCTGAGCACCTGCTTGTGCCAGGTGTGGTGCTGGAAGCTGGCGGCTCACAGGGGAATCCGCATAGCCTCCGCACTGGGACCAGGGTTTAGCTTATTGGTCTTTCCAGTAGCCCTTAGTATACATCATTTTTTTAACCACAGAAAAGGGGGAAAATACCTCGAATCCAAGTCCCATTGTGCATCCAGGGCCTGGGGGCCCAGGGGGTCCAGGAGGTCCTGGGGGTCCCATGACCCCAGGAGGGCCAGCTTGTCCCTGTTTCCCTGGGGGTCCAGGTAAGCCTCTGTTGCCAGGGTCACCCTGTAGGAAAGAGGACAGGCTGATTATCTAGCCCTGGGTTCACTCATGGAAGGAACATCATGCATGCCTGAATCAGAAAATCACTCTTTGAAGTTAATTAGGTTGATGAATTCTCTGATCGGTACTGCTTAATGGTACAGAAACAGCTGTCTTGCTAATTGACATTTTACTTGGAGATAAGCTGATGCATTCATTTGAATGCATTTGGAGGGATGGGTGAAGAGGGAGAAAACATCGAAGGGTGTTTATTCCCCACCATCCCCAGCTGTTCTGCCTTCTCTGAGCAATTCCTTTGAGATGTCTTTCTGTTCCATGACATTTATATGTTCAATATTCCAACCCAGCAGTCCAATTATAGTAAACTCCAAGAAAGGTGAGGAAGGAGGAGAAAGTTGTTTTTTTTTTTTTACCTTTTCACCAACTGAGCCATTAGGCCCTCTTGCCCCCTGAAAAAAACAAAAACAAAGACCAATTAATGCATGTCTCATTAGGTATGTTCTGAAGACAATGCCCAATTATGGAGTCTTAAGTAATAGGATATTAAAATACAAAATATTTCTGTCTCAGATTGGTGTCTTCAAGCCAAACACATTACAATAGATGCCAGTCTGTTGGACAGGTCATGCTGAAAGCTGGTGAAACCCACTTTTCAACCATTAGCTCATCACCTACCTCAAGAGTAAACCAGAGAAGTTAAACATTAACAAGGGGGAGATTATAGAAGATTTCACTTGGAGAGCTGCCAGCGGACTGAAGTGGTCCCCTTCCCCACCCTTCCCATGACAGAGGTAGAGGGTACTTCACTCACTCTAAAGTGAGGAAGGGGCTTCAAGATCTCTGAAATGCATCCCCTAGACTTTTGGAGATATGGGGGATGATGAATGGCTCTCTTCTGGAAAGTTCTAAAGACCCAAAGCTGGCTGTCGTAGTCCCCAGAAGGCAGAATTGGGGAGGTAGTTGTGTTAGAGTAGGTTGTATGTTCACACCCAGTGGGGACCACACTACAGTTTCCTGGGGGGTTAGACACAGAAAGGAGTCCACTGTGGGCTCCAAGCGGAGGGGAGGACCACAGCGGGTGTGTGCGCAGGAGAGGTCAGTTATGGGACACTGGCCTACATCAGAGGATTGTGGCAGGGAGCCCCAAATGGAGAATCTGTGAGGAAACCACACATGCACCTGCAAGAGATGAAGTCAGCAATTGCATGGCCACACAGAAGGGCCTGAGAGAGATGCTGACGTGCCAGTCATCAGAGATTATGTCCTTCCCCCCTGTCATTTTTGTTCCTGGGCTACAGTTTCCTTCTTACATCAAATCCATAGAAATGACAGAATGGATAGTTCTGAAATAGCCATGCTCAAAAACAAGATGGGGAGGGGCATTAGATCCAAAATAGAAATGCCAAAGGGAAAACAGATGGGAAGCTGAAGACAGGGGCCTCAACCATCAAGAGAAACCACAGGGAGAAATGTCTGCTGCAAAGCCGTGATGGAAGTCAGGTGCATGATATGGCCCCTGGGCCCCAGCAGCGAGACAGGGTGAAATTCTGCAGCAGGCTAGCCCTCCAGCCCTGCCCATCTCCCCTCCCCTCCCTTCCTCTCCCCTGCTGAGGAGAAACTATGGGCGCCTTAATTCTAGAAAAATAAGAGTTGTTTATTGGGCCAAAGAGATAGGGCAGAGCCACAGATGACTAGGAAACTCTGTGAGGTCCAGGGGCACCCTACACTCGAAAGATCAGCTTCCCTGCCTGATGGCACGTCTTATTTCTTCCATCCCCTTCTGAAACGCTGTGAGTTTCAGAAGGGGCTACTGCCCAACTCCCAACAGTCTAACAGTCTGCACCAGCAGAGGCAGAAAACAGACTCAGGCAGGATCCCAATTTCAAACGTAAACACACAAGAAAGAAACACAAACATCTGAGGAAAGGCAATACTGTGAGAAACAACTAAGTCAACTATAGAGTTTACATCCAAGGGAAATGGAGTTAAGAAAACAATCCAATCAGGACGTTAAGTATAAGAAATACGTTCTCACAGAGAAAAGGGAGGATAACACAGCCATGAAACAAAGGCATGCTATTATGAAATAAGAACAGTGATTATGAAAAAGAACCAGTTGGAGATCTTGGAAATCATAAATAGAAAACTGCTAAAATGTAGAACGCTACAGAAGGACTGCGTAATAGAATAGACACACCTGAAGAGAGAATTAATACAGAGATCAGGCTACAGAATTCTCCCGGAAGGCAACACAAGAGGGTAAAAAGACCTAGACAGAATGGCAAAGAAGCAAGAGAGACAGAGGCAGAATCGGAGGTTCCAGCATCGGTTTACTTGGAGTGGCAGAGGAGAATAAAGAGATAGAAGAATGCAGTGTTTAAATTTTCTGAAGGAAAAACAGACGTCTCCAGATTAAAAGGCACCCCTCCAAAAAAGGTCCATAGATTACCAAGAAGGATAAATGAAAGCACACATTTAAAAAATAATCCACATTTAGTAACAATGCAGAGGAAGTTTAAACACCAAGAATAAAGAAAAATAAATCCCCAAATTTACCAAAGAGAAAAATCAGATGGCCTCCAAGAGAGTGAGAATCAGAGTGAATCTGACTTTGTGTTGGCAACACTAGATGTTGGAAGATGATGGTGATCATCTTCAAATCATCAAGGACAAATGACTTTGAACCCAGAATTCTATACTCAACCAAATGGGAAGAAAATAAAGATATTAAAAAAATAATCCAAGGTCTCAGAAAGTTTGCCATCTACAGTCAGTCTGTGAAAATACGACTAGAGGACCTGCTCTAACAAAAATAACCAAAGAGGAAATAGGACACAGGAGACAATGAAAAATATATTCATATATTACTTTCATAATTAAAATTTAATAAATGCTTGAAGTAGAGTTGCTCTGTCCCTCACCTACCAGCCCTGAGATACTTCCACAAAGTCCCATGGCTCTGCCAGGACACAGAAACCAGGGACTAAAGCAATTCGCAGGTTCCTTCCAGTTCTAAATCTCTGGGACTCTAGCTGAATACGAGACTAAGCAAAGCTCTCGGGGTAGATGAGAACGACGAGGCTGTGGCGTGTCCAGCAAAACTACCTGCACGTAATAGGCAACCGCCAGGCAGCAAGCTCCCCCTCTCCCTCACAGACGTGGGCCCATGTTGTCTGCTTGGTAGCTGTGATAACCTTCCTCAAAGAACCAGCCGTTCCCATGGGTGAGGTTCATGGATCTGCTAGGTGAACGCTTCCACATGATTCTGGAGGAAGACGAATGCCTCACGTCTGGGGGCAGGCATAGGGCATGGGAAAGGTCCCGTCTCTTGCAGTGTTTTCCTGTTGGGACACACTACCCAATTCTTGGCCTAGGAATGGGTATGACAGCGGTCGAGGGTGGGCTGGGGTCCCAGGTGAGGCACCAGGCTCTGGAGGCAGGCTCTGAGGCTGGAGAGGCACAGAATGTCTGCAATCAAAGCCCTCCATAAGGTCTCCTGGGGCAGCCCCATGGAACCTTGGTGCCTCTCTGGCAAGGGAGCCAGCAGGGACATTCTTGCTATTCTGAGGATGTGGGAGGAGAAGGTGTGCTCAATGAAGGAAGTGACGGTGACTGGGCCCTGTCACCTCCCTGCTGGCCAGCCTCACCAGGGAGAAACTAAGCGTGACCTACCTGCAGTGGAAATGTGACTCCAGTAACCGGATGCCTATTTTACTGCCTAACCCAGAGGCTACAGTTTCTAAGTCTGCTTCTTTTGGGTATGGCCGGCTTGTTGCTGGCTGCCCGTTCCAATCTGTCTTCAATGGAAGTGTCAGTCTTATGCATCTTTTCAGGAACAAGGCAAACTGCCATGAGGATTGTTGTGAAACAGAAAGTAGCCTCCTACTCTTAAAATCTTGCAGCTGCATTACCAGCTGATCTTGTTACAGAAAATTATGTCCATAAAATAAAAAACTGAATTTTTTCAGTTGTCTTCCTCATTCCTTTCCAATCAAGAGTGCATCTTACAGAGTTTCAAAGGAAGTTCTAGAAGATACCATGGACCTTGGTTTATGGTCTTAGATGACTTTAGCCAGCTCAGACATAGTAAAAGGAGAGTATTTGGATCTATTCCATTGACTCACAGATAAGATAGCCATCAGCTTGGAACATGAGTAGATTGGCTTGTGGGTGGAAGAGCCCACCTCACTGGAATTTATGTGAACAGGCAGGATGAAAAGTGGGAGCTCCAACGAACAGTGAGGGAAGGCTCCTATTCCCCAAATGGTGATGTTGGAGTTGTACATTATTTCTTAGTGAGAGAATTTTTGTGCAGTGAGGGCATGTATGCGATCTTGGAATTCCAACTAGCAGAGCTGCAATTATGGTTCTAAAAGTGATGAAACATGAAGATACCAGTTCATTAATGGAAACATTGCAAAGGAATGAGGTACAATAGTGTTGTGTGTTGCAAAATCGTTGTTTAGAATTGATTCAAAATGTTGGCTTACTGTGGTGAATTGGATTTTCTAAGGATATTACTCAATTTCAGCACACAGGAACCTCAAAGAACCTAACAGAGATGAGAACTTTTTTTTTTTTTTTTCCTGTTATGGCTTTTGAGACAGCACATATTGCCTTGTGGAAGTCTGTTGGTTTTCCTTCTGCTGTTTGTAATACTGATAACCAGTTTCTTATCTGTTACAATTGATTTTTCTCTTTTTCTTTTTTTGAGATGGAATTTCACCCTTGTTGCCTAGGGTGGAGTGCAATGGCACAATCTCAGCTCACTGCAACACCCACCTCCCAGGTTTGAGCGATTCTCCTGCCTCAGCCTCCCGAGTAGCTGGGATGACAGGCGCCTGCCACCACGCCCAGCTAATTTTTTGTATTTTTAGTAGAGATGGGATTTCTCCATGTTGACCAGGCTGGTCTTGAACTCCTGACCTCAGGTGATCCACCCACCTTGGCCTCCCAAAGTGCTGGGATTACAGGCGTGAGCTACTGCGCCTGGCCATCTATTTGATTTTAGGGAGGCCTATAATCCAGTTGTTGAACCAAACACTTCTGATGATAAAAGAAGATACAAAATAGGAAATCAGGCAACTATTTCAGTGTTTCATTTAAACAAGTTGTTAGAAAATCTAAACCCATCACTGGGTCCTAGGCAAAAGCAGCTTACTTCTATATTCTTTACTATTCAAGGTTTTTAGAGAATTGCTCAAAGACAAATTGGGATTGCTTGGAGAAAGAGAAGGTGATGATGATTTCATTGTATTTCTCTTACATCAACAGAAAAGACAGAAGCTGATTTTACAATGACAGTTCAGCAGCTCAGTGAAATTACTCAAAGGCAATTACTGGGAATTCAACATTCTTCTGTAATTCTGGGCACTGAAGAACATTTCCAAGCACAAACTCTTTCCTGCCTCAGTGTCCCTTTTGAGACTGAAGAATAACATGATGACTTAGATTCTCAAAGTAGAAAATCAACAACTGTTAATTCTAGGTGTGCTCCAAAGAACTGAAAGACAGAATCTGCAGTGCAAAAGCAGAAAGGAATGATTTTTTCAGAGATCTGTCTTCTCCAGCAAGTTCTTCTGCATTCTTTCCAGAAACATTCTACTACTGAGAAAACGGGCCACTCTTCACCTACTCCTTCTTGGGCTAAAGTTCTTAGTTAGTTGCTCATCTTGATTTGGAAAAAATAAAGTAAGGAATATTTGTCATTGAACTCAGCATGGAATAATCTATTTGATAAATTCTTTGAGGTATCATTTTAAAAAATATTTTAATTTTTTAAATTTCATAGGTTTTTTGTGGGAACAGGTGGTGTTTGGTTACATGAGTTCTTTAACGGTGATTTCTGAGATTTGGGTGCACCCATCACCTAAGCAATGTACACTGCAGCCAGCCTGTACTCTTTTATCCCTCACCCCCTCCCACCCTTTTCCCCAAGCCCCAAAGTCTGTTGTATAATTGTTATATCCTTATGTCCTCATAGCTTAGCTCCTACTTATAATACTTGATGAATTCTTAATGAGCATCATATTTTGATCTCAATCTCACATTTTATAATAACAATTATCTATAAAAACATTTTTTTCAGATAAATAACCTGAACCTTATTCCCTGTAGGGAAAACTCCATTCTAGATCACTGCCTAGATTGGTCTATGTGCCATGCTAAAGAGAAGGGAGGCTGATTTCATCACAGCAGACAGAAAGGCTTCCCTACAAGTGGATCCATATAACTGTGCAAGGCACTGCCTGGGCAGGAGATAGGTTCCTTGTCACTGGAGGTATGCAAGCTGAAGGACAGATATTGTTGAAGGGGAGTCAAGGATCAAATGAATCATTGGATCTTACGATCTATTACAGCCCTGAAGTTGTTCATTTCCTTTTGCACGTTTTGTTATTTTACACACTGAATATGCACCTTGGTTTATTGGGCTTTTTGTTTTGTTTTGTTTTTAAGGTAAATATCATGTGTAAAGTTTCCCGCCCGCTTTATTCCAGATGCAAATTCCCAAGTTCTTCCAAGTCTGCCTTAACTCGATCAGAAAACCTCATACGTACACAGTGCAACAAACTGAGACGTGTAGCAAATTTCAGAAACAAACAAACGTGATTGATCTCCAGCATTCACCCTAGACAAGCCTGCTGCTGCTCTGTGCCCTGCTGATTCTTCAAGCAGCTGCAGAGTGTGTGTGCAAGGGTGTTTTGTATGCAGTTGTGGGCGTGGGTATCTTTAAGTTCGAGACAGAGTATGGGAGGGGTGAGTGTGGGTGGGTAGGGGGAAGCTGGGAAGAACAACAGGTAGGAAGATAGGTCTGTGGTGCTTCCTGCAAAATTTAATTTCCTATGAAACCGTTACTATATGTAAAATGAGTTCCATAAAGCTTGACAACTGTTCCTTTTTCTGAGAAATAAGCTTTCCATGAAAATTGAGTTATGGGTCCAATTAAAATAAACATACTTGAGAGCTGATGGAAACTAGAAATTCAGTTCATGGCGGTGTCTGAGGAGTCAGCATTTTCCACGTCTTTATCTGTGAGAGGGCCACAGAAGGCCCCACTTCCCATCCCAGCTGAGAGGGACTCTTCCTCCTCTGTACCCCGGTAAAACTCACTGATCGCATCCCTAGTGCAGGGCTCACCTTGTCTTTACTGCCTTCCTTTGACAGACATGGCTTGTCTTATTAAGCTGGGAACCCTGCAGAAGCAGGAACTACTCCTCCACACACACACACACACACACACAAGTGCGTGTGCGCGTGCGCGTGCGCGCCCCGGGGTAGCACCAGCACAGGTTTGCAGACAGGAGGCAGGACCAGCTTACAGGCAGAGAATGAAGAGGATGAAGGCAGGCCAGACTCTGGGAAAAGCAGGCTAATGGTGTCCAAAGGAAGTTTCATTCATGCCTCAAACATAACAGAGGTCTGTGCTAGGTTCTAAGGAGAGAGAGGCAGTACTACATGCTTTATGTCAGGGTGGGGCTGAGGAGCAGATAGGTAAGCTAACACCTTTAGTGTCACTGGCTAAAGATGTTCTCATAGCACAGGAGCTTCCTATGATGCTAACAGAAAGCAGAGGAAGGAGGGATGCTTTCTGTTCATGAGTCAGGGAGAGCTACCCAGAGGATGTATCTGAACTAGGTCTTGGAGGATGAGAAAAGGAAAAGGACATCCCAAACAGGGAGAAAACCACGTGCAAAGACAAGGAGGCCAGAATGGAAGAGTGTGCCCAGAGCATGTGGGCAGAGCCGGCCCACTGGCCAAGAGGCCATGTGAGGAGTTGGAGGATGCATTGGAAAGAGGAAGCCCATGCAAATCAGGAAACACTAGAGGTCTGCACAGAGCTAGGCTGTGTCCTGCAGGCAGTGAAGCCCTGGATCTTTTCTCAGGGACCAGGGAGGGGCTGACGAGAGCCTACTACAGGAAGGTGAACTGGGCAGGAGGCTGGAGGGTGGGTGGAGAGAATGCGCAGCGACGGGGAGCGCAAGGCCACCGTGCAAGTGAGAAGCGATGAGTCCAACTCCGTGGGGAGAGAAAGGTGAGAGAGGCGGAGGTCAGACTGGGCCATCTTGGCACTGACCAATCGCAGCAGGAAAGAGAGGGAAGGAGTAGTTAGAGAAGATTCCATTTCTGGCTCCAGGTGACTGGGTAGATGGCAACACTGTGCACTGAAGCTAGGGACACACAAGAGTGGGCAGGGAAGGTGCTGAGTTCAGGTTTGGGCATCATGAGTCACATGATAGGGACATCCAGCAGAAGTGGCCAGCAGGGGATTTCAGGGGGCAGGGGGGTCAGTCACATAAGAGGCAAGGTCAGGCTTAGAGGTCGGAAAGAGTACTGCGGGCCTGGTGGCTCCCAGGTGTTGGGACCCTTCCGTGTTCCCCTTACCTTCTCCCCTTTCATCCCGGGAAGGCCGGTGGCTCCATCAACTCCAGGCTCTCCCTCAGGGCCCTGGGGAACATCAGTGACAATCAACCCACAACATCTCTGCTAAGAATCACATACACACGCTTGTTAGAAAAAGAGGGCAGGGTTGGGAGGCAGGTGAGGCTGGTGGGCCCACGGCCTCATGTCAAGTGCAAGGCAGGAAACTAGTCCTTGGCCCCAGCTGGGTCGCTGCTGACGGTGTACCTGTGGATAACTGTCCTTCACTCTCTGGATCCCATTTCTTCCTCTGTGGGGAAGTTAGAGGCAGTGTTGGACCAAATGGTCTCCAAGGGTCTCCCACCCCAGGTCTAGCCCTGATGGTCTATGATTCCAAGATTCTTTATGAATCTGTGTCTTCTATACAGATGCTTCTTGAGTTACAATGGGGCTACATCTGATAAACCAATTGTAAGTTGAAAATATCTGAAGTCCAAAATGCATTTAATACATCTAAGCTACTGAACATCACAGCTTAGCCTAGCCTACCTTAAATGTGCTCAGAACACTTCCATTAGCCTATAGCTGGGCAAAGTCGTCAAACACAAAGCCTATTTTATAATAAAGTGTTAAAATTGAAAACAGAATGGTTGCATGGGTACTCAAGGTACTGAATATGTATCGCTTTTGCACCATTATAAAGTCAAAAACATCGTAAGTTGAACCATTTGTAAGTCGGGGGCCATCTGCACTGACTGTAATAACGCAGTGAAACGATAAGTAGGATGATGTTTTTCTTGGCTGCTGCTTCTCTGGAATCTCAACAATGATTCAGATGAGGAGGATTTCTGTTTACAGTGAACTGCTCTCTCCCTATCGCAAACCTTGGACAGTGCTGGGTTCTGCAATCTGTACACCGCTCCCCAGCTAAAGGAAGCCCCACAGCCGCAGAGATGGGGAGAAGACTTCAGTTGCTCACCGGGGGCCCAGGTTCACCAGCAGCTCCATCCTCTCCAGGAGATCCAGGGGGTCCCATGAAAACATCAGTTCCTGGTTTTCCCGGAATCCCAGGTACGCCAGGTGGGCCTGGGGGCCCTGGAGGACCCTAAAAACACAGAGACTCTATTAGAAACAGTGGGGGAATACTGAATGAGATACTGAATACGTGCTTCATACATTCTCTCAAATTCTGACAACAATCCTACAAGTAGGGATTGGTGCTCCCACTTCACAGATGGGGAAACTGAGGCTCAGTGAGACTATGCAACTCAAGGGCTCTAGACACACAGCTAATTAGTAGGAGAGCTGGGATTCGAATCTTGGTCTTTCTGAGCCCATTGTATTGTGTTTTCTCCCAAACAGCTGAATACAAAACCCAATTAGCTGGAATTCTGAGAAGTGCTCTGGTGAACTGAGTTTTCTGGTGAACTGTGAGGTTAGTCAAAAGCTGCCTGTTGGACAGCCTTGTTGTTAAAACTCTTTCTGAAGTGTACTAGTGTTTTTAGCTCATTGCTGGGCTGGCTGACCCACCAGGCTGGGAGATTCATTTGGCTCCCATTCCATTTAACGACGGAGTCTAGAACCCTTCTAGCCCCGGCCATGAGGGGCAGCCAAGTGAAGCTTTCAATTGGGGATTCAGTACAGGCGCCCGGGGACAGAGGCACCAGCTGCTGCTAGAGAAGGAAGAAGCTCCCTAGGGGGCAATTTCCGAAAGGACTGGTGGAGCCGCAGCCTTGGCAGGGGGCCAGGGGAGCAAGAGGCACCAAGAGAGAAAGAGTAGTCTGGAGATGGAGGCAGGGAGGGGGTGCATAAGGGAAGGAGGTCTCAGGAAGGTTCTGGAAGCTGAAATAGAACGTGCCACCCAGAGACGAGGCCAGCAGTTCTCTTTAATGAATAGGGTGAGAGGAGGGGGAGGGAGAGTCAAAAGCAAACCGGCAGAGGTGAAGGGCAGTGGGCATACCTGCTGTGGGGGCAGCCTGCTTGAGAAGCCCACTGGGGAAAGGAAGCAGGTGGGCGAGAAGGTCCTGAAGATAAATGTAGGCTCATACTCACTTACAATGCCACTGATCAAAGTGGACAATTTCAAACATATATAGGGAAAAGGAGGATGAACCCCCATGAGCTCACCGCCAGCAACCCCAGTGGTAGCCAATCTGGTTTCATCTGTCCCCGACCCCACATCCCTCCCTCTGGGGTTATTTTGAAGGCAGTCCCAGACACCATGTCATGTCCTCCTTCACACTCACTCTCAGCAGCTCCTCACTGCCCACCAGGTCACCAGAGCCCGAGCTGATGCCCGAGCCCCAGCCCAGGCCAGAGCCCTCCACCTCCGCTCCCACCTGGAGAGAGAAGAAATTTCCACAACTTGCATTCAACTGCCAGATTCCAAGGACAGCCATGTCACTGAAAGTTTCCCCAAATGGGGAAGGTTTCCCATGTTCTGCAGCCCGATAACTTCAGCTCCCCATTTTCTCTCTGCCTTTCCTCCCACTCCCCTCTACAGCCACCCTCCTCCCTGCTGCCTCCCAGCTTTGCAGCCCACTCATGTCTTCAGCCTCCTTTCCTGCCTTTCAATTTCCTACTCATCCTTCAAGGCCCAGTTCCGCAGTCGCCACCTCCATGAAGCCCTCCCTACCCCATTTCCAGGCAGAATTCTCCTCTCCCTCCTCGGTGCTCCCACTAGCCTCCATCAAGTTCTCCGTCAGCTGCTTGAAGCTTAGTTGCGCATGTGTCTGCCGGCTCCTCTAAACTAGAGCTCCTCAAGGGCTGGCCCAAACCTTAGACACACTGGGTACCCAGAGTCCAAGGGGGCCAAGCATCCAGCGGGTTCTCAGTGCATGCTCGAATGCCATCAAACGTATCCGAAGAAACAGGGGAATCTCCAAAACACCTTTCTAGTACTTATACTTTTCCCATCTTGAAGATGGGAACCAGGCAGGGCCTAATTCATTCACTGAATGTGTGTATACTGAGTACCCTGGAGAGGCACCAAGGAAAAGCTGGGCTTTGGGGGTACAGCTGGATTTAGGATGGTCACAGTGGTGGGCACATGTGTGTGGGAGAAGGGAAGTGGTGATATGGAGGCAGGGAGACCAGTTAGGAGGCTGGTGCCATCGCCCAAGAGAGGAGGAGGAGGCACTGCACAGCTAGACTCAGGGGGACTTGGGGACACACTGGACGGGGTTGGGAAAGGAAGAGGACCACTCAAGGATGTCCCTCTCTTGGTGACCAGGTAGATGGGGTGCCATTCCCAGAGACGGGAAACCCAAGAGGAGGAGCAGGTCTGGGGCATGGGTAATGAGTCCAGTGTGGGGAAGTGTTGAGCTTGAAGAACTTCTGGGACACTCAAGGTACAGGATATAAACTGGATAGAAATCAATTCTGCTGCTTCACCCTGCAGAGTCCTAGTAGAGGCAGAAGACCCTGGGGTCTAACTGTAAGATACTTTGGGGTCCAAAAAGGAGAGTCATCAGCCTGCAGCCGTTTTGGCTGCATCCCTGGTCTTGCACCTGTGTGTGTCACAAACCTAGATGGGAATCTCACCGTGGGTCCAACAGGCCTGGAAGGTTCAGGAGGGCTAGGAAGCTCCTCCCCAGCATCACCCTAAAGAGAGCAAAATGGTCAGTGAAGTGCTGGAGCCCTGTTCCTCCCATGTCCCCACCTTTCTGTAGAAATCGTGCTCATCTTTAGAATCAGGGTCACATAGGAGTGGAAAATGGCATTGTCCTTTGCAGAGACAGCTCAAGGGGAGGCCTTGAGCTCAGGCCTTGAGTCCCACCCCAGGGCTCAGAAGCCCTTTGTTTCTGTGCCGCACTTGGAGGGCACGGGCTGTGGTGGAAAGAGCTGACCAGCATCAGCACACACAGCACACACACTCCCTTCTTCCAGGATTTATTTCCCGCTCTCTGGTCTGGGTCCCGCTCGAGCACCAGTGCTCAGGCCCAATCTGGTCTCCAGAAGCCTGCCCTGCCCACCTGCTCCTCCCACCAGGGCCTGTGACCTTTACAGGAAGGTCATTGCTCACAGTCTGCCCCTCTGGGACCATGTGCCCCTCAAGAGCAGGCACAGTGCCTGAATCACCTCCAGGTCTCAGCACCTGGCACAAGGCCGGTACTCAGAAAATGCTTTTAGAACCGCAGAAGCACCCATTTGGAAAGGAGGCAGATGAAATAAAATCACAGAGTGGCATCCCAGGAGGTTCTGGCTGTCAAAAAGTGCCCACAGAAATGGCTTTCCTGACAAATAAGGTGACGGGATGGCCCGATGTGCCAAAAGGAGAGTAGAAATGTCCACAGTCAAGCCCCAAAATCTGTGTGTTGTGAGGCCTCCTCCCAGAGCCTCCTGCTGCACCCAAGCCCTGCTGGCATCTGACATCCACTGAGGTGGCCAGAGGCAGAGAGAGGTGAGGACCTTGCCCTCCCCAGCCCCAGCCCTCCCTTCCCCACACCCTGGTGGGCAGACTCAGGAGGCCACAGGGTGGGAGCATCAACTACCACAAGGAACAGCCTCCGTGCAGCCCAGAGGCAGGCAAGGTGGGCAGAGGACCAGGGTCATGGTGGAGATAAGGAGATTCCCATAGGCAGCCAAGTTGCTGCCTATGGCTAGAGCAGGCTCCCTGGGCAGGATCTCTTGACTGGGGTCATTGTGGACACATCCCCCCTTGGGAACAGCTTAGCACCAGCAGTTGTTTTGGTTAGAGGGATTTGTTATTCCTGCGGTGACTGACACCAGCTAAAGCACTTCCATAAACATCCCCTCACTGCATCCCATGTCACAGGGTGATCATCACCACCCCCACTTTACAGATGGAGAAACTGGAGCAAAGAAATAGTAAAGGACTTTCAGGAGATTCTACAGCTGCTACAAAGAGGCAAATCTAGGCCTGCGGTCCTCAGAAGCTCTTGTCTACCCAACATTTTCCCAGGAAGAGCCAGGTGTGGAATCACAGGACCCTTCGATAGTTGATAGAGAAGCCAAGGCCCAGGGAGGTCAAGGTACTCAGCCATAGTCACCGGGTGGTGAGAAGAGACTCAGCCAGAACTGCCTGGCACCCTCTTCATGATGTCCCAGACCTACAAGTCCACTTCTTTTAGGCTTAGCCCTCTTGGTGCTTCTACAATCCCCTTGATCAGAATGGACTAAATCAAACCCAAATAACACGCTTGGGACACTTGATCAGGAGCCAAAGTGCTCCCCAGGATGGTCACGGCACAAACCTTTTCTCCTTTGGGCCTAGCCTGTTCTTTCATTCTCACGTGTTCTCTTTGAGCCTAAAACAAGAAGATTTGGTTAAAACATTGCCACAAGGTATTTGGGACATGGGGCTGCTGAGTTCTGGTCCCATTCCCTGGTCCTGGTCAGTGAGCTGGGCATGAGCTGGGGCTTGCCCTGGGCTGATGTCAGGGAGCCCCGTGAAGAGAGAGGCTGTCTGATCACTGCAGCATCCCCTGCACTGGCAGACAACAGGCTCCCAGTGCCCATCTGCCAAATGACTAGTGGGAAGATCCTGGCATTTGGAGTCCCCCATACCTGATAATCAGTCTTCTCTCTCGCTTGTGTTGCATAACACATATTTTTAAATATATGACTTCATTTTCAGGGCAACATTCTCCATATATTCACTAAGATCTATTAGTCAGTCCTTAGAAATGTAATGACATCATTGTGAACAGTGTGGCCTTTGCTAATCAACTTCTGGCTCCCATCTAAAGACAGTGGTTGTAAACAGTGCAGAAACAAAGGCTCCCACTCCTACTGGACCCCTGAGAGCTGTGTGATCTTGAGCAAAGCTCTAATCCTTTCTGGGCCTCATCTACAAAATAATTCGAGACAGCTAATTTATTGAGCATGTACTATGTGCTGGGTCATGTTTTCCATGTATAAACTCATTTAATCCTCACAAATCAAGAGGTAGTTTCTATCATTATGATTCCCATTTTATGCATGAGTCAACTGAGACAGAGAGAAGTGAAGAAAATTGGCCACAGATAT